TGCTACACTTGCACATAAATCTCACATTACTTTATAATGTGGTGGCTTGTAGATTCTTAAATCAATCAGTCAGGATTTCATAATTATGGAGTCTAGGGTCTTTGTTAGCTGTTGTTGCTCCATGCACAAAAGGAAAGATTTTGTTACTACCACCATAAAACCTATTAATTAAACAGACATCTATCCAGCCACACTTTCTACAATAAAAATAACTGTTACACGGAATTAAAGTGATTTGCTAGATTAATTACTCTAAACCTTCCTGTACAGCACAGACTGTATGAAGTGTCATATGCACAAAAAAGGAATTAAGTAACAAACACCTTCAAAATAACAACTTCTTACTTATTGATAACAGTAATTGAAACACATGCACATTCACTGTAAGTAAAAAGCACAAACAAAACAGAACCTGATTCAAGCCAAGAAATTCCTCTCAAACATCTCTGCACTTAACAGTAACATTTTAATCTTTCTACTTCCTTAACAATCTACTTTTCTCAGAGACAAGTTTTACAAAGAACATGCTTCTTGAGTTAGTGTGCAATTCATAAATGTCCAAAACAGTGTCAGAAAACTGAGGTGAAATAGCAAAAATTGGTGGTTGTTGGTTTTTTTTTTTTTTTTTTTTTGTGTGTTCGCTGCCTGGATTCATGCATTGATACAGTAGGAGAACATACAATGTATGTTACTGCTGGAAATACACTTCAAAACTACCAAAATGCCCCATAATTTCGGTCATCTCAAACAGACTATATATACTAAAACTTGAACTGATTGGCATAAAAAAAAAAAATACACGATATGCAAGAAAGGACTCAAAACTCAACTACTATGCTGAATCGCTGCCTGCATTACTTAATTTTAAAGTACGCAAAAATAAAACTTAACCTAGTGACGTTATGCAACAGACAATCCAATTACATATGATGCTTTTATTTCCTATCTGGCATCCTTAAACTCTATGCCATAGATGATTTTCTGCAATATCTCCGATAGCCTCAACTGCATGCACAGAGCAGACATTAATTCTGGTCCACTAACAGTTAATGTACATTATTTAACCGGTCTGACATGTCACTCCACTACCTTTTTGATTTATCAGAAATGGCACTTTTATAGATAATTCCGAAAATCAAAAGGAAAGCACTAGATTTTTTAAAATATAGGCACAAAGAAAAGTGTACTTGCTTTTACTTCCATCTCCCCCCCTCCCCCCACGTCCTGACATTGAGCTTTTCCGATCATGCCAGAAATAAACATCCAAACACAAGTAAGGGTCTAGGCTACCGAATTCAACACGCATTTTAGAGTTAAGTCTTCAGATCAACCAAGACCAGCAATAGAAGCCTTAACGTGAAAATATCAGCATACAGCACGGGCACAACAATAGGATGAACAAAGTGTCAAATGCAACGCTACTGACAGGAACAAGTCAGAAAGCAGGAACCAGAACAGAGTCCCCTGCTTCAACCGTGTGATGTTGTAAAAACAGCTCCCCTTATTCTGTTACCCAAACGTTTTCTTCACGCTTAGTCTCTAAATACAACTGGCAGGCTCTCAGCCTGCACGGCCTTTGTCAATAGCTTACGGATGGACAGCAGAATGTGCTACAGGTTGATAAGGAGGACGCCGGCGCTGCAAACGCCCTGCCCGCAGCAGGGAAGCACCCAGAAAGAAGTTGCAATACGCAGGAGAGTTTCCCCCAACGTTCACCGGAGGCTTCACGCTCCGGGCTACGTGCGTTTTCGTCCCCGGTGTTTGTTTCGTGTTTACCTCCCCCCCACCCCCACCCCCCCTTCTCTTTCTCCTCCCTGTCCGGCCATCTTGGGCCGACAGGAGCAGCCATTACTTAACTAAATGACAGGGCCAACAACTTTTCCACAGAAACAAACATCTCTCTCAAAAGCCCGGGCGGGCTCCTGCAACCTGCGGGCCGTCCCGCTCCCTGTCAAAGCCGCCCGGCGGCGGGGCCGGCGGCGCTCGGCGCGGACCCGGCACGCTCAGAGGCGACCGGGCCCGGAGAGTAAACAAGTCACTCGCCGACGGGCTGCGGGAGCCGCTCAGCGCCGCGCCCGCCCCGCCGCGGCCCGGCCAACACCCCCCCCCCCCCCGCCCCGCTCCCTCCGGCCCCGGGGCAGCTCCCCCCCCCCCACCCCACCACCACCACCACACACACCCCGCGCCGCCGCGCGCCGCAACGGCCGCCGGGCAGGGCGCGCGCAGCCAACGGCCCCCGCCGCGCGGGGCGAAAATCACGAGGGAGGGTCCGGGGAGAGGCCAACGTCAGCAGCGCCTCGCGCGCGCCCTCCCCCCCCCCCCCCCCGCCACCTCCTCCTCCCTTCCCCCCCCCGGCTCCGCGCCCCCTCCCCCTCCCCCCCCCCCCCCCGCCGTTTGCTCCCGGGCTCCGGCCCCGGCGTGCGGGCGCCTTCCCATCCCGGGGCTGGACGGACACCCACAAAGTGTCCGGCGTGGAGCCCGCAAGGCCGCGCTTCCTTCGTCCCACGCGGGGGGGTGGGGGGGGGGGAGGGGAGAGGGGGGGAAGGGGGGGTCGCCGTGCTGACTACACGGATGAGAGGTTTTGGGGAGGGGGGAAGGGGCAAAGGCGGCAGCGACGCGTGGGGAGACCACGGCGGGGGGCGAGGCGGGGCGCCCAGCCGCCTGCGGGGACGTGCGCCCGCGGATGTGGCGGTGCCCCCCCGCTCCCCTCCCCCCCCCCCCCCCACACACACACTCGCACCCAGATGCACACTCGCACGCACACACTCACCGTGCGGACCCGGGGGACCGGAGGGAGGGGGCGGCTGGGCCGGGCCGGCTCCCTCCCCTCCCCCCTTCCCCCCCCCCCCCCCCAGCCCCGCTCCACATCCACCCTCGCGCTTACCTTTAACAGCAAGGCCTTCGTTCTGGCGCCATCTTCATGAAGCCTCAGAAATCCGAAGAGTCGGCTGCAGAAGGGGAGCGGGCGGGAGGGAGGGGAGAGAGGCACAAGCGTTAGCGAGAGTCAGCCCCCCGCACGGGCAGGCGGGCAGGCTCGCTCCCGGCGGGCGAGGGCAGAGCGCGGCGGCGGGGTCCGGGAGCCCGCACACGGGCACACACGCACTCCCGAGCGGGGAGCCGCGGGCAGGGGAGGGGGGGGACACGGAGGGAGCGCGGGCCGAGCTGGGACACGGAGGCGGCCGGGGCGGAGTGGGGAGCGGGTACCTGTCGAGGCCGGATAGGGCTTCTCTCTCCTCGGCTGTCAAGCTGGCGAAGTCCTCCTCGCTCTGGCCGCTCGCTTTCCCCGCCGCCATTTTCTTTTCCTCATCACCGAAAGGAGCAGCAGAGGCGGCGGCAGCGGCGAGCGACACTCCGCACGATTTCATGGAAACGCAGCGTAATTAACTCACGATCGCAACCCCCCCCCCTGCGCGCCCCCAACACCCCCCAGCGCCGGGCGGGGCGGGGTGCCCGACACACACACACACCACAACTTTTATTACAACAACAACAGCCGGCAGGGAGGGGGAGGGAGGGAGGGAGGGAGGGAGGGGAGAGGGAGGGAGGCGGGGGGAAGCCCCGCTGCTCGGAGGAGGAGGGAGGGGGGGAGGGAGGGAGGGAGGGAGCCCCAGCGCTGGAGACTCGGGGGAGGGGGGGGGGGGGGAGGAGGAGGAGGCGGCGGCTGCTGCGGCGGCGGATGGCGACGGAACGGTGTTTACATCGCCGCGGCGCCGCTCGCTCCGGCGGCGAGGGGCGCGGGGAGCCGGGGTGACAGGGGCCCCGGCCGCGCGGGGTGTGTTTGCCGCCTGTACAAACTTCCCCAGCAGCTGCCCAAAGTTGTTGTAATTGTGTCACACAGCGAACCCCACGCCGCCACCGTGACCCCCCCCCCCCCTCCCTCCCTCCCCGCCCGCCCGGGCCCACTCAGCCAATCGCCGCCTCCGCGGCGCCGCACGTGACCTTTGTTGACTTACGTCAGTCATAGCGCTCTTCCACCGCTGCGCCTCGGCTTGGTTGGCCTTCGGTGCCCGCCTCCCTCGCCCTCCTCATTCCATTGGCCGGTGGCGGAGGGAGGGGCGGGAATTCAGGGATTCCCGTCTTATGAGAGGACAGGCGGGCCGTCAGTCAGAGGAGCTTTTCGATTACCCAGCGCCAGCATGTTTGGCGTGCGCCTTTAAAAACCGTAGGACGAGAAGGGAGCGGAGCTGGGGGGGGGGAAGAGTTTTCGGGAGTGGTGGGCGGGAGGAGGCGGGGGCGGGATGGCCGCGCTTACGGGCGGAGTTGCGTAACGGAGGCTCCGGGCTGGGGGAGCGGACGCTGCTTGAGGAAACGGGACTCGCTAACGCCCGGCGGGTGGGGGCTGTGCCGCACGGGCTGGGGGAAAGCGCCGCCTGCCCTGCCTTGCCCTGGCCCGGGTGCGGGGCGTGGCGCTGTTGGCACAACCGGAAAATAATGGCTTCCCCGCGCGCCGAGCAGGGACCGTGCTGGCTCCGTGCGCCCGGGCCGCGGGGAGGCGGGGGGGGAAGGAGAAGGAGGAGCCGCCACCCCGGGAGGGTGGCTGGTTGGCGGGTAACGCCCGCGCAGAAGGGCGGTGGCGGCGGCCGAAGGGAGGGCAGCGCGCCGCGGCACGGTTGGCTTCGCCCGCCCCGGGGAAGCGGAGATCGCCGAGGCGTCGCCGCCCACTCGCAGCGGGTCAGGGACCTTCTCGCCAGCCTCGGGAGGGTGGAGCGGCCGTTGGCCCGCCGCCGCCCTCCCTCCCGCCCTCCCTCGCCAACGGACGAGCGCGTGGCGAGGCGCGCGGGTGGGGGGGGGGGAGGTGGGGAAGGGCGGGGCGGCTTTCCCCTCGGGCGCTCCTCCCCCGCGAGCCAGTGACAGGTGGAGCGGCGCCCGCCGGCGCGAGCCCCGCGGCCGTCACGTGGCACTGGGGGCGGGGCGGGAGCTCTCTCGCGAGGCCGGCGCGGCCCGCAGGCGTGAGGGTGGGGGCGGGGCCTGCGGCGCCCCCGGAGGGGGGGGGGGGGTGCGGGGGTGCGGTCGGTAGGAAGGCGCGAAGAAGCGGGAGCCGGGCTGCCGGGAGCGTCTCACGCGTGAGTAAATACCTGCCTTTTCGCTGGAGGGAAAGGGGCTCTGTGTGCGCCGCTTGCTTCCCCTTTTTTAAAGCTGAGCCTACCCACAGTGTTCCTCGTGGCTTCAGCGTTACTTGGTTCCTCGACCAAGCTTACCCAGGAACGTGAGGGCCCAGTTTTCTCTTTACAGTCCCATTAACTTGCACGTACGGCCAGGAAGCTCTAGGGTTTTATCGGCGAGGTTTTTGAAAATCATTTAGAGAGATTTGCCTCTGCTGGGATGCGTAAGAGGAGATAAGCCTTCTGCAGGTCTGTGGTGGCACCGCTCACTGCTTGAACCCATTTTGCTGAAAACAAATCAGCAACAATCTGCTGCAACATGGCTATATCACTTCAATGTCCAGCCAAAGCCCCATGACTGGGCAGGCTTTTCCTCTGCCGGTTGAGTTTCCTCCCCTCAGAGAGGGGGCCTGTTTTATGACTACCAGGTGCTCTGAAGCATCAGCAAAGCTATTAACTGCCTTTGGGAATTAGGTTAATAAGGTCAAAGGCCAAACTATGCAAGGGATGTTCAATCACGCTGCTGCTTGCTGGTTTCATCTCCTCTTTTTAAATTGTCACCATCCAATCATGTACTCGTGAAATTGAAGCATGGTTCTGCCTCTGTAGGTGTCACAGCTAATATGTACATGTCAGTGATGCTTTCCAAATGGATCCTCAAATGTTTTCTGGTCCTGATGGTGTCTGTAGCACAATACAGAGACACTGGCAGAAGTGTGCAGGCCTGCGCTGCTTCCCAATGCATTGATTGGAGATCTGGTCAAGACAAAGTCTTGAATAGTGCAAAAGAAGGCTCAAATTAGTATGTCCTTGCTCCTCTTAAAAGCAGACTCTTGTAGCCATGCTTTCTGATGGAAATGCAGTTAGAACAAAAAAGCACCAGAGCTTACCAAGGTTGCACATCTTTTTAAATTAGTCAGCAGGCAGTTGGTTAGCGTATTGGTATAAGAGACAGGCATTTGTGTCTTAAAGTACTTTTGAGTTTGGAGTCCAGATAAAAGCCAGGTTACTTTTGGTTCTGGGAATGGGCCATAGTCTAATAATGGTGAAAACGGAGCTATGATCAAGCATCTGTCTTCACCTGTGTTTTACGTGGCCTCTCAGTCACATACTTTCTCAACAGTGCTTCCTTAGGTGCCTGTCTCAGGACCAAGAACTCTACTGATTGGTAATGTGCCAAAAATAAGGTATTTCAGTACAGATTATTTCTGAGGATTTTGACTATGAGGTCTTACATTTCCATGTTGCAGTATCCCAAGTATAAATCAACAGGAAGGTTAGTAGATGAAACTATTTCTCAGTACAAGGAGGGTAACTTCTAAATTACAAAGCAGTTCAGAACATTTCATAGAAGCATTTGTTCAACTGAAAATATAACAAGAAACTTCTCTGCACCTGAAGTCACAACACCCAAGTTATCCCTGTAGGACTATCAATGTCACCCTTAACCCCTGCATCCTGCCTGTATTGCTTGAACTAAATTTCCAGTTGCCTTTTATTTTTTTCTTTTTTTCATTTGAACTACTGTTTGGATGACTTAAGACGTGCCACAAATTGGATACATCTTGAAGAGTTGAAGCAAAGTTCAGCTTCTAAAATAATAGTGAGAAAGGCTTGAAAATGCATATTGAAACCAACACTCCCTGCCCTTGCAAACAGTCAGATAACAATTTTGGGATCTAACATTGTTACACTATCACCTCTACGGAAGGAGAGAGACTGTTCCAGACAAGAGTGATGCTGGCCTCCCACGCTGAGCTATGCCCTGGAGGGTGACCCAAGAAGGAGTACGTCCTTGCATTCTTAAGAAGAAAGAAGGAAACTGCAGTGTTGTTCTAGAACCCTTAGGCTTTAGCTTGGTTTAAATTCTGAAGCGATCTGTGAGTCTCCAGAACCACTTTGCTACCTTCTGTGTGAAAGCTGTGGACCAATGAGACTCTCCAACTGAACAGTACTCTGTGGATCCCCCTTGCTTGTACGTTTTCACCCCTGTTAATTTTCCATGCGGAGTTTCTTTGTGTATTCCTATACGCTGCATCAGGCATTGCCTCGTCGTGCCGCAAGACTTGCCCAATCTGTTAAGAGGCCGAATGCTGTTAGTGTGTGCAGTGTTGGAGAGTAGCTTACACCAGAGAGAACTCCGTGTTCCACGTAGGTGTTTGGCATGCTGGTCCTTCTCTGCAGCTTGAAATTGGGATGCAAAGTTAATGAGCCACTTCTTGAAAAGTAATGTTAGAAAGAGCAAAAGTTAATTCTAGAGTTTTCCTTATAAGTAAATACATAGCACCTGATGTCTTGTTCAGCTGGGAACTCCTGAAATAACTGCAAAAAAGTTGATACGGAAGAAAGATTTAGCTTCAACACTGGGATTTGAGCTGTCATCTCACTTGATGTCAAAGGTAGTTGTGGTATCTCAAGCATCCAGGTTCACTGGCAAATAGGACAAGCCTGAGCACATATATAGGAATTCAGTCTTGGGAAAATAACTTCCCGTAGCACGGAACAGGGGAAGGGTGCCCTCTTCCAGCTCTGCTTTTTACTCTCATATCATTATTTCCACTGCCATCAACTCCAGCAATCAAGTGATTAGCTTGCCGTTGTCAATTAAGGGAGGACATTTTTAGAGATGGTGGCTATCCTACCATTTTTTTATGAGCAAGAGTATGGTAGCCTCTCATGCATGTTCACCACAAATTCACTGTAAATCTGTTGATAGGAAGTCCTGACTGGAGGCTTGTTTACTATAACAAATACTGTCTAGTGTCAGGAGTGCTGCTTCTCACAAAGCATGGAGCTCCTTGCTGCAAGTCTCCTGAATGACAAACACAGGAGGCCTGATCTCCTATTTCCGATGTCATAGTCTGGGACCAGACAAAGTAGCAGTTTGGTAGAGATCAGAACCCTGCAAATTCAGTAGGTTATTCTGGAGAGAATTATACCTTCAGAAAAGACTCGGTCTTGAAAATGTAGAATGTTTTGGGCTGCTCATATGTAAAATATGCAGGAGCAAATGGACTTAGAAAGTTTTAATGTGTACCATCTCCTTAAAGATGGCTACAGATTTAAACTCCAAAGGGTTACCTGGTGGGAGTATACCACACTGGTTTGTTCTAGCCATACCTGATCTCACAACTCTAGAAGTGGAGCTGCCCACATGCCTTCTTTGTACTTGCTTTTTGGACTTGAACTCTTTCTTGAACTCCCAAAATGTTCTGTATAGTATCATCAAATTCTTTTGTTTTAAAGCCAGTATATCATCTGTAGTCTGCAGGTGGAATTTCCTTAGACATCTTTCAGCATGGACAAGCTGGTGGAGGAATCCCTCTCCCTGTTTTCCTTTGACACGGAATTCTTTCTGAATAAGGCAGCTACATCCAACTTGCTTTCTCAAAACCACATTCTTTGCTGGACAAATCTGGCTTTATTTTCTGTGTCTCTACAGCTTTTGCTCTCCAGAATGGCAGAGGTTCGGTGCAGCACTTCTGTGGTGGTACCAAGTGTATTGAAAAGCCACGCTTGCTCCATGAAGATTTTCTGGGTCACAGTGTGTTTCCATGGAGTACTATCCTCTTACTACCTGACCTCATCAGATCCATTCTCAGATATGTGCTATTTTCAATAATAGTGATTAACAGAACCTACTGATTAGTAATAACGTATTTGGTGTGACTTCCAAGTCAGGTAGCAAGTTAGAATGAGCAGTATATCAATCCCTGCTGGATACGATTGAAATGTCATGGTCTTCTATAGTCCCAAGACATACTCGCTAGTCACCTACAGCAAGATTCATTATTTCACCGCCTGCAAAAACTACGGTGCTTGAAGTTAGACATATCAGTTCAAATTGGTCTTTCATTCCTGCTTTTCGAAGTTCTTTGCAGCTGCGAGCTGAGCTGCTAGGGAAGTGAGGGTAATAGTCACATCCTTACACTGTCTCAGAAGAGTATGAAGCATCTCAGGATGTGCATGTGATCTTTACTGACACTGCTGTTTTAAAAAAAAAAAGAAAAGGTTTTCCAGGTGTGGAGTCAACATTATGCTTACAATAGCTCAGAGGACCTCTCAGGCAAATCCTTTTGCAGTAGACCAGGAGAAATGTGACAAGACAGCAATCTTGGATTTGTGTGACAAAGTATACATACTGAAAAACGGCAAAAGAAAAAAGCAAACTAACCAAAAGAACCCATAGGATGCCATTTTGTATATTGCAAAATATAAATCTAACGCTTGCATTATTGCCACCTTGCCAGATTTTAGTCAAGCTGCCTGAAATATGTGAGTATTGGGCATATAAGGGAAGGCAGCATAAACTAATACAACCTGACAACAGGTTTGTCAGGGAGAAGGTAGCCCCTTTGTTTAACCTTTCATATTCATTAACAGGTTTTCTTCCTGCATCTTTTTTCTTACTGCTCTTTTCTTCATCTACTCCAAGGTAAAAGCAGAAAAGCTTAAATTACTAAATTATATTGTTCTTGAAATTGGGAACAAAAAAACCTGCAGTACTTCATTTTTGTATTCGAGAAGTAGCTCTCATATTGTCCCAGAGTTCATAGAATGGTCTGCAATTTGCATCTTCCCTGTACTACCCTCATCAGGTTCTGACAAGTGTTGCGCAGTGATCCGTGTTATATTTTGATAGCGGATGGTGATCAAGAAAGTAGGGGAAACTGATCTAAAACCCAAGATCGGGGGGTTTTTTCTACTTATTTAAAAATAATAAAAATACCAACAATTCAATCTAAACATGGAAAATCATGAATTTGTATACATAACCTTAACTGTATTTTGAGTTGTTTCATGAAATTCAGAAATAATTTTTATATTTGGTAGATTTGCTGGGTAAGACAGGCTATCTCTGTATGCTAGCATGAACACACCTGTTTGCTTAAGTTTTACCAGTAAAAGCAACTGTTAGAAGAGCTACCACTGTACCATATTTTCTGCACTCTATAGATTTTAATATTATACTGACAGTTTCTGCAGAGTTAGAGAAATAAATAATAGGAAAAAATAAACTTGTCCAGGAAGTGGTCCCTTTACAGTGCTTTTGTTAGTAGATTTTATTTTCTTTTTAATCATGCCCATTCCTTCCCCACGCCCGGCAGTTTTGGCTGTGTCCATTGATGTGTGTTGCAAATGTGGGCATGCTTTCATTCATGTTCATGGTTTCAGAAGGTAGGTGAGTAAGTGTCCGCCCTCCCAATAGGAACTGGATGCGGCAACTTATGACATGCCACCTTCCAAAGAAGTCACCCCTTTGACAGAAGATGAGCATGAACAAGTACCTCTGCTCTTCAACAACTCTGTAAAGAAAGTGAGATTTCTTGCCTTCGTGACTATGCAGGAATTTAATACCACTGTTGAGAAGCTGATAATAAAAATACTGTATTTATATTAACTTGTTTTCATCTTCAGATTGGCAATTGTAGCTCCCCTGTAGCTTTATAGAATTTGGCAAATGCTGTCAAGGAGGGGGGGGGAAAAAAGCACCTTTGTGTTTCTATGGCTAGGTATTTATATACGTGTTGACCTATTATAAGATGCTAGGCTAATACCTTTGTGGCCTGCTGATTTTCTGACTTGTAGGTAAAAACAAGTAAATAACATTTCTAGAACAGCTCTGAGGCAAAGTTAAGTATTTTGTATAAACATTTGAAAGGAGCCGTTCATGATGCTCAGCAAACTAGATAAATGGATATCTTGTTTACTTGTGCAAATCCTGCTACAGAATGCAATATTATCCAAGTTACGTTATTATCTGGTAGTTTTGTATTCCTCCTAAAGCAGAGGATGTCACGTGCTCTTACTGGATTTAATTTAGTGCTTTTATAGACAAATGTTTTCAAGAAAGTATCTGAGAACTATTTATTATAAAAGCCTCAAGTGTTGTGTATGTTGCTTTTTGTTAATATTCTCGTGGATGTCTAAAACAGTAAAATCTTCAAGAGCCAATCCGAAACCCTATTTTGATTTTAGTCTCTTAGTCCTTCCTATTCATTTCCTACCACATCTGCCTAAGAAGCAACTTTTAAAATCTGGTAATTTGCATAACTAATGGTATATATTAAATCTTTTAATCATGTACAGACAGAAGTTTTAAAGGTGCAAATAGCAGAAAGGGCTCTGTGACACTGGATATATCTTGTCCAGAGTTAAGGCAGTGGCTCAGGAAGCTCCATCGTATACTTACTGGAGACAGTGACAATCCTCAATCCTTGTCTAAACACAGTTCAGGATTCCCATAGAGCAATTGGTGAGTCAGGAGGCATTTCAAATAAAATAAAACACGATGCTTAAATTTGAAAACTATTGCTGTAGGGCATGCAACTCTATTTCCTCTCTTACATTTTAGAATTTTATCAAAATAAGGTGGCATTGCAGCAGTTTGATGCATAAGACTAAATGAATAAGGAACAAAATTGTACCCAAAGCATGTAAAGTTGTTTATCATGTGTGACTGGAAAATAAAAAAAGTCTTATACTGAAACACCAAACTGAAATTTGAAATGTTGTTTGGCTGTTGTGGTTTTTTGTTTGGTTGGTTGGTTTTTTGTTGTTGTTTTTTTCATAAAATTGCCATAAAATAGGTAGAGTCTATTCAGAAGCTTTCTAGTGTTGTGCATACCACTGTGTCTTCTGCAGGCCAGTAAGAGCTGGATCAGGCCTCTAACGGAGCAGAGAACATCAGGATGATGTAAGGAAGACAAGTGGTTTCTACCGTGAGCTCGACATCCATAAAACCAAAAGCTAACCCTGCTTTTAAGCATACATTTTCCCTTGCTTCCCCCACCCATCAGCTGCATTTCACTTGAGAACCTGTGAAACAGAAAATTTCTAGTTTAGGAATGGTTTGGAGAATTTCCCATCTTAAAATTTCTCAATGCACGGTTTGGTTTCTGTTTGAACATTTGCAGTTGTGTGTTTGTTTGTATAAATATACTCAGTACTACTAAAGTCAGTTTGTGATAAGTTCTTCTCTAGTGATTTTTTTGTTTTGTTTTTTTGGCTGTAAATGAGTCCTGTGGTGGTTTACTCTTGCTAGGAAAGCTAAAAGCATCATGTTTCTTTCCACGGGCATGCAGTCCCAAACTGAAAGCCAGGCGAGAGGAAGGAGATTGCCGTTGGTGTCAGTGGGAGAATAGCCTCTTGGGAAGGGGGGCAGCAAAGGGCAGCGTCACTAAGAATGGGCAATATTTTCCAAAGCCTTGATCTATGTAAATCGGTACTTTGTGTAACAATAGTGGATACACCAGATTTTACTAAAAGTTGTGGATTTAAATATTCATACAAAAAAATTAGTGTTTGTCCAGTAGCTTCTTAGTATCAGTGAGAAGAAAGTCCCTCTAATATTCCTCCCTCTGAGTTAAAATAAAAATCCATATTCCCTATTGAATTCACATTCTTACATGTAAGCATCCAAGTTTACCACTTTACTAGAGCCTCAATAGCTGTCTAGATACCACGAATATATTGATTCAACTGACACTATTTTAAAGACATCAAGGTTTTGAAAGTATGTGGATACATTTCTTCTTCTCAAGGATAGTCTATATAAAAATGACGGGCATAATATTAAGAAATTTACATTGGTCCTGCTCAAGTTATAGTTGTTCCCTGTGCAAAAAGGAGGACAAATGTTTTATTATAAAATCTAAATATTATTGTTGCCAATCATGTCATTGGTTCTTTTTTTTTAATAAGTGGTTGGATTTGCTTTTATTGCTTACCCCCTTGCTGCAGGCACGTTTCTAATGAATAATCCTACCTTGCTAAGGACCTGAACCTGCAAGTTACGGAATACCATCTGAAGAGACTTTCTGCTCAGTACTTGGCAGGATCAAGTCCTGGTTTTAACGATCAGTTCAGATAAGCTTGCAAAGTTTGAATGCTTATCAGAACTCCTTTATTCAGGAAATTGGGTAACAAACAGATTTTCTTGCTAATTTCAGTGTTGTTCCTGGTTTCTGTTACATCAGCCTGTGCTAAAGAAGACATCCTGCACTGTTTATACTTCTGTTCTCTCTGAAAACAACTGAATGCAATATTTGTCATTAGTGAAGAACAACTCTTACATACCTACCGTTAAGTCTCTTTTATCAATCAACTTAATTTTTTCAAGTATATTTCTATTCAGGTTTATTAATTTTGCAATGTAAATACTAACTGTTGGTGGCCTGCAAAAAATGCAGGGAAAATACAAACAGGGTGATTACAGTTTCTGTCTCCCAGTTGGAGGGGTTTGGTTTCACATGCTGCCAGGCGGGTGAGTGGTTTGGCAGCGTACAAGAAAAGGAGATCACGGCAGCAGCTGGAAAATCAGGAACAAGCAGGTGAGGAGAAAGCCAAGTACACGAGGTAGATTTGACCACTAGTTGAATAGAGGCATTTTCTGTGGCCAAATTCTTGACTAGTCACGTATTCCAACTCTTCTTTCTGTTGTTGTCATAGTTTTCCACTACTTGTGTAAAACATGAACATTCTGTTTAAAATTACAAAGTGTCTGGCAAAAAGCAGAAATTATCAGATGGTTGGTTTGGTGTTTTTTCCTCCACACCCAATCTTAGTCAAACCAATGATCATGATAGTGCTTTGTCAAGAGTTACACAGCTGTGTAACCAATGTGAAGGTGCATCAGGATGTGGTCACGTAACGTTTATTCCCTAACAGCAACCCCTGCCCCTCAGGGTCGCTTCCCGGTCACTGTTCCCAGCCCTGGTGCGGCAGTTTGCCCCAGCCATCCCACAGCAGTACTGATGGTACTGTTTATGATGCCATGCTGAAAACTGAGGCGAAGTTACTGAAGTAGCCTCAGTTTAAAAACCTAAACAAACCAACCATCCCCTCCCCCCAAACAAGCAAACAAACAAACAAATCCCCACCAGCAACAAACCCCCAAACTTCCAGAGGGAGGTGAAAGCCACTTCGAGACAAATTTTATTGTAATTATTCACATGCAGTATTGTTTAGCACACTGAAAAACATTTAAGAATAACATCATTTTAATATGAAATTAAGTGCCAGAACAGATGATACAGTGATTGTATTATTTGGTAGCTTAGTGGATTCAATTAAAACTTGTCTTGTTAATAAATCTTACATAATTTCTGGCTGCTGCTGTGAAGAATCCTGAGATTCTTTTGTGAGAAGGTCCAACCTGTTCATAACAATGCCTCAGGAGCTGGTTGACTGATGCACAACCCAGTAAGATGATTGCATCTTGTGAGGTTGACTGGAGATTGCTATCGCAGCAATAAAAACCAAGTTAAAAATTACAAAAACCTGGAACCTGTAAAAGCTTATGAGCCATAGAGATGACCTACTACTGACTCCTTACAACCTCTAAGTAATTGTTAATTTGGTGGCCAGTTAATCAGATTTCAAGTTGGGAGAGTTGGACAAATTGCTTTTGGTCTTTATCACGAGGTCTATTTTTGTATCGGTGCTGTACTGATGCGGCAGCTGTTGCGGGGATTCAAAACTCTGATCCACACACAAGGAAAAATAACTCACTTTTCCACAATAACACTTGTGAATGCTGTGTTACCTGTGTACACATCTCTTTCCTAATGGAGCATGGTCAAAAAGGAGCATGATTCCACACAGTAGGCAAAGCTAAAAAGGAAACGGCATCTACTAAATGATACGATCGGCAAATTATACAGGAAAATAACCCACACTCTTCTTTCATTCTAAAGAAAACTCTAACCAGGGTTTTCTCATTTGATTACTGCTCATACACTTATTTTTTTCCCCCATATACTGTGTTTTACAAATCATGTAATTATTTACAGAAACTTCTAGGAAAGAACTTGTGTCATGTATTAATTCTTCAGTTCAGAAGTATAGAGATTATCTTATTGAACTAATCATTCCCTCTTAAGACCATCTTTGAAATGTTTCCATTATGCTTATTCAGAAGTACAGGAATCATAGCTAAGATGTCTATTCAGGAAAGTGTTTAAAGTAACAACAAATAAGCAATAAATACCGGAAGGGTTAAAAATTAAAAATTAAACCTTTCACTACTATCTGATTGCTTTCCAGCCTTAATATATGTGGGCTATGATTCCTGCTCTACATTAGCATTCAGAAAGTTTTTCATCATGAACATGTAATTGTTTGTATTAGAAGCCTAACTGTTGTATGTGAAATTAGAATCATGCCTATGGGTATTTAAAATGGAAGAATAATACCAGCTAATAACTTCAGTGTAACTAGTAAAATTACATCAGGGAGAGTATTTCAGATTTTGCAGATTGGCCAAATTTATATTGATGAGAAATGTCTAAGATTTAGCTCAGTAAAATTTAATGAAACCAAGAATATATTGAGGAAATGAAAGTGTATAGGCTTATTTGTTGCAATGTGTGGAAATTGGTTAACTTTTTTATTTGAGAGAGAAATGAAGTTCTTTATGGAAATTTCTGATTATTTTTCTGAAACATTGTTACTTCTTCTGATGTAAGTAGTTATATGGTCTTCCAGATAGGTTTCTTTAGTAAATTAAATTTATTGAACTTGCTGTTTCTTCACAAACAAATATATTTCTTTACCAGGAGTACACAGAGGCATATTCCTTTGCAGAAAGAACCAAGTTGTTTTGAAATACAGGAGACCAGAAGAGTTTATGTTCAAAGTTCAAGTGTTTTCTAGAAAAATGCTCCACTGCTTTTCTGTCTGTTTTCAACTTTGTAACGTCCTCTTCTGCCTAAAGGTACACATACCTAGTCTAAAGAATACGCAGCTCATTACGCTAGGTAATGTCAATAGGCTCTAGCACTCATGTCCTGGCAAAGTTAATTTGCATTCATCATCTGGCTTGCCATGTGAGCTATGATTTGTATCATAGGTTTTGTTTTAATTACTCCAAGAAGTACCACCACTTCTCACTTTTATCCTCACTATCACAGAATCACAGAATGGTTTGGGTTGGAAGGGACCTTAAACACCATCCAGCTCCAACCCCCCTGCCATGGGCAGGGACACCTCCCACCAGGCCAGGCTGCTCAAAGCCCTGTCCAACCTGGCCTTGAACCCTTCCAGGGAGGGAGCAGCCACAGCTTCTCTGGGCAGCCTGTGCCAGTGCCTCTCCACCCTCACAGTGAAGAATTTCTTCCTTATATCTAATCTAAATCTACCCTCTTCAGATTAAAACCATTAGCCCTCATCCTATCACTACTCTCCCTGATAAAGGGTCCCTTCCCACCTTTACTGTAGCCCCCTTTAAGAACTGGAAGGTCACACACAATAAGGTCTCCCTGGAGACTTCTTGGAGTCTTCTCCAGGATGAACAACCCCAACTCTCTCAGCCTGTCCTCGTAAGGGAGGTGCTTCAGCCCCCTGATCATCTTTGTGGCCTCCTATGGACCCATTCAAGTAGGTCCATGTATTTCTTATGTTGGGGGCCCCAGAGCTGGACACAGGACTGCAGGTGGGGTCTCACAAGAGCAGAGTAGAGGGGGAGGATCATCTCCCTCAATCTGCTGGCCACACTTCTCTTGATGCAG